CTCCGCTTTGCTGACGACATCGTTTTGATAACACCAAACATCGAGCAAGCGGAACGAATGCTGGCTGATTTCGACTGGAAAAATCGGTCTACGGCTGAATCTAACGAAGACGATGTTCATGAGAAACGGATTGGTTTCTGATGCCCCATTCACGCTCAACGGAACGACCATCTCTGAATGCTCTAGCTATGTGTACCTAGGTCGTGAAATCAATATGATGAATGACTTAGCTCCAGAGCTGAGCAGGAGGAAGCGAGCGGCTTGGGGAGCCTTCAAGAACATCGAGGGAGTAGCGAAGAAGACGAAGAACACCAAGCTCCGTGCCCACCTCTTCGATTCCGCGGTCCTTCCTGCCTTGACGTACGCCTCAGAGACTTGGACTCTACGAAAGCAGGATGAGCATGCGGTCGGCGTTATTCAACGCGCCATCGAAAGGGCTCGGAGTTTCCCGCTACACGCAAGTGAGAGAGGGAATCCGGAGCTCCGCACTCCGCCGACGATCGAAGATCAGAGACGCCGCCGCATTTGCCAAGGTTTCGAAGATCAGGTGGGCCGGACACGTCATGCGTTTCGAGGACGACCGCTGGACCAGAGCGATCACCGACTGGATTCCACGGGATGTCAAGCGAACGCCTGGACGACCGCCTATGCGATGGTCAGACTTCTTCGTGAAAGCTGAATGGTATGAAGTTCATCGTGTCCCTCGAGCAGAGAGAGTTCATTGGGCAACTCTTGCACGTTGCAGGGACGAATGGAGACGTTACTGGCGCCCGCTCGAGGAACTCGATGATCAACGGGAGCACAGGTGATTGTGTCAACTGGTTTCAGAAGGACTAACAGTTAGTTGTGAGAACGACGGCAGTAGACTGTTGTTGGTGCAGGCAGGGAAATGTGAAGCTGCGTAAAATTTCGGGCCGTCCTATTGAGAAAGCCGCCTGGTCCGCCGCATGTTTTTTGCCCTCTCAAACCTGATTTTGCCTTCTCAGCTGCGGTCCTGTGTTACTCTGTCCTTCAGCCTTTCACACCAAATCGGAATCGGACCAAAGTTCCGGTTGTCACTTTGAGGCACGGTCCTCGACAAACTAAAGCAAGAACATCTTGAACGTGCATTGTGACCAACTAGGCTACCGCAGAGGCTGTAGGACATTTAGAAGATGAAAATTGACGCAGGGCGGTCAGGTTTTAGGACCATGGGCGCCCAATAGGCCAATGCTGGCCTACGGGCCTACGTCGCCATGTCATCGTGGCAATGCAATTGTGCACTATCGTCCGCCGTCTGGTCTTTCTCCTCTTTTTTTCAGTGGATCGTCGCCTTTTGAAACCACAATAATCTTGACCATCTTGTGCTCGTCCGATTATAACGACCGATTGCAGAAGGGGTCTTATAGCAGGCGGTTTTCGAGCTTTCTTCTTCTTCAGTAAGTCGAGTAGCACACGAAAATCCCATTTTTAACTGTATTACCTATGATGTGCAGTTGCGGGAATTGCTTTTAAGCGGTTTTCTTGCGCCCTCCTCGTTCTCTTATGCACCGCTATTTGTGACACCGCTTGGACCAGCAACTATCCACCGCTGGCTGCTCATTACCATTTCCTTGACACTGCCCTTCTGCACCGAGGTATGGACCTTACATGCTCTTTCCGGAAGACTATCGCTTAGCTGTTATTGTTTGATAACTGCTGTTTAACGCCGCAGTGCGCGATCCGAAAGTTATCACAAGAATGCTGAGTTGTGGGCAAAAGTCGGACCACGGACGGGATTCGAATTCGCATCTTCTGCTGATTAAATGCAGAACATGCGTGTTCGAATCCCGTCCGTGGTCCGACTTTTGCCCACAACTCAGCATTCTTGTGATGACTATCGCACATGTTCGATGAGAAATCTTTTTAGAATCGCATGATGAGTGATGAAGGGCCACTGTTAGTGTACTACAACTACCACTCAGTACCAATTTCACAAGAAAAGATTGAAAGTCTCATTAAACATGTAGGAAATTTCACGTAGTATTTCATCTACATCGGCGTTATCAAGGTCAAGGAGGCGTTTTGCAGGTAGTGGTCAAATTATCGGCCGAATTCGACAAGTTCTATTTTTGTTGCGATGTTCGAGCAACACCCAAAGACATTACCGACTATGCGGAACACTTTCAGGTCGCTTGTTTCTTTTTTTAACACATAGGCTTGGGAGGGTGTAGCGCAAAGATACACATAGAGGCGAAGCAGCATAAGCCTGACGCCTCACCGAAGCAATGCAGCAGCAAGAACAGCTGAAAATTTGTGAAGGGTGTCGTTAAGGAGCCAGGGCACACCCTTCGTTGAGGACCTGGAGCGAGTTCGTGTGACCCCCTCCGTAAACGATAGCTTAAGGCGACCCTCCACCCCCTAGTTTCCTCCTCTGGTTCGATCGAGCTACAGAGCGCCGGTGTGGGGGGGTACATATGTATATGTGAAACGGGAAAAACCGCGAGGAAAGCACGACCCTCTCCGCACGATTGGGCCATCGAGCGCCGAGGGGGTGCATACATGTGAAACGGGAAAAACCGCGAGGAAAGTACGCCCCCTCCCCATCCAACCTACAACTTCCTTAGGTTTTTCCCAGCCTCCTACCCAATCTTCCGGAAATTCCCGAATTCCCTAGAATTTGCTGTTGTGTGGGACCCCTCCCCTTTCCCAACAACGACCAATAACTACACCCCTTTGTAGGATCCCTTGAATCTTGGTACGGAGATATTAGGTTGTCCGGAAAGTTCTCAGCGTTTTGAGTGTCTCACTTTAAACGATCATAACAGAATCATGAACCAAGCCCATAAGTAACTTCCTAGCAGAGAAAGAAGCGAAAAAACTTTGGGAACACGCTGACCATAGATCCTGCTCAGCAGTGGGCGCCCCGCCCTGGACGAGCTTAACATGAGAAGAAGCCCAATCAGTAGGATTCCATGTGAACCGATTCCCGGCAACAGCATATGAAATCGCCCTACGACGCTCCAGGCAACGCTATGTACACACGCAATTCCGCTTGTAAGCCGTTGTCTTGCAGAGTGAAAGTAATCGTGGTTGCAATGGTTGCAATAATCACGCGTCTCTAGTTCTTTATCTCGCCGTTTCGAGTGACGAAAGTGGTATATTCTCTGCGAATGCGGACAACGATGCCAAATGCACGAAGGCATTTCGCGGACCACTTGATCGCGGAAACTGTCTCTAAGGTTATGTACACGTCATAAGGCACAGCGGATTCACCAAATAGCCATCTTAGGAAGCGATCTACATTGAAAGTCAGTGTTTAGCACGGAGAAATAGCTCATATGTCACTATCAAGCGAGGGTTCAATCGAAGAGGCCCTCTGTCAACGAATGGTCTGGCATGCCTCTACCATCAACGGAGCACCAGGCCTCATTGCCCTGGTTTCCGGTATGTTTGTTCAGTTCACAAAAAGCTGCATCTCCGATCACTTCTGAAACAAAAGACAAGCTGTTCACTCTCAAGAACAGATCCCGCAATAAAAGGCAGAAGGCACGAAAATTTGGTACTTGCTCTAGAATAGTAGCAGGGTTCTATATATCAAGAAAATGACGAAAAAGCAGAGGTGAACGGCCAGAAACCAGCGAAAAACTCTCCGTTCTGCATGCCACTTTTGGACGAGTTTCCCGTTGGCATCGTGTCAGTAACCGGCCTCTTCTGTATGTACTCATATATCCATGTAGCACGAGAGCCGCATCCTCTCATTCCCTTCGATTCATATTGCACATAGCAAATGAAGCGAAACGGGCAAATATGTTGGCGCAGCTCTCAGCATAGCGGGATACGGGTAGCTCTTCAGAAATGCGCAGCCTACGCAGCGCGTCTTGAGACGGCTAATCTGTTCTGCTAGGCCATCATCAATGCCCCTACATTGCTCTGAGGACTTATTGTTGCCCGTGTTAGCCTTTAGATATAAATGCGCTCCGCTAGAGAAGCCTCTGGCACGGAAGAGACAAAGAAAGCCACCTATGTAATAATTTGGCGCCACTATTGAACTATTCCTACCCCAGAAAACCTCAAAAAATTTTTTCTTAGCTGAAACGGCTGGTTGCCTATAAATGCCCTAATTCGCATGCGCTGGGGCTAACGAAATGGCGCCAACGCCAAAAATGAATGTCAGATTCGTAATCAGGACCTCAAGTAACCCCCATATGCAGTTTTCATCGACTTTGGTGAAAAAAGTGGTGGGCGCCAAATTGGCGCATAATGGCGCCAGATGACGCCAGCAAACGAATGTGATATTCGTGATCAGGACATCGAATTACACCTATAGACAACGTGTCAGCGAAAAGCGGTGTTCAGAAGTCGTCCTGCCGCCAAAATGAGATTAGTATGCGGTAGAAGACCAGCCAATCAGGTGTTCAAAGCTCTTCTGAACTTTACGACTCTAAGGCATTGTGACCAGTCCCGTTATAAGAAGTGTCTTATGCGGAGGCGGAAAGCCGAAACTCTTCAGATTTCAGGTTTAATTTGGAAAGTAGTTCAAGTATTCATACCTAGAAACCATTTAGACGCTGGAAACTATGGTCCAACACTAACAGCGCTGGCTCGAGGTGGTTGGCGAATAGCGATATTTCATCCACCTGAGACCAGCTCGACGTTTCTCGACTACGCCGACGAGGCCTTCGCACTTCCGATACATCGTGAACAGATTGAAGAGGTGAGCTGGACCTTCTCTGTACTTTTCCTGGGGATATTGACAGGTTTTATAGTCCGTGGTGTCAAAAAGGTTGGGTAACTTGCTCGCCTGCTAGGGCGCTAATGCTGCTACTGGAGCTGTGAGGTGTAGTAGGAAACGGTCAAGACAAACGCGATCTGCCGCTTCGTCGCGCGTGACGATGGCGCAGCGTAAGCCTGTCAATCAGAGCACAATTTTTCACGTAGACCACGAAATCGTGGATATTTATGGCTATTTCTGCTTAAACATTGTCTAGTGTCGCCACTTGGGTATGGGGACAAGAGAATCGTAATCCGCCGCGACAGTGGACGTCGGGTGCGACGTCGCGCCCGCTCGTGACGATGTTTTTAGGTGGTATTGGTCGAGAAGAGACAATGTATGATCAAATATAGACATGAGTGTCCACC